TGGCTTCCAGCACAGTGATGGTGGTGGTGGGAGCCTCTCCTGCCTCCTCAGCAGTGCTAAGGATGTCCGACTGCAGCTTAGGTCTGCTCCCTGCTGGCAAGTGGACATCCCCCGAGTGCTGCCGGGCTGCCAGAGGGATGTCTGATTGCCAGCTTAGGTCCAATCCCCCGGGGATTGGGCCTAAGCCAGCAGGTGGTCATCCCCCGAGGGGTCCCAGTCTGCGAGAGGGCACAGGCAGGGCTGAGGGACCCCCCGCCCCCCCGAGTGCAAAAATTTTTGTGCACTGGGCCTCTAGTTATTAGATAAGATAAAAAATGAATAGCTACTCATTTGAAAACCATATGAAAGATTTATCTGCCTTTTCTCTCCTCCATCCTCATCCTCATCCCCAGGCTTAATTAATGATTAAATGAATATAGGCTTTTTCTTTAGAGAATGGATATTCCCACCATCAGTCATCCTAGAAAGTGAATAATCCCCATGTAGAAAATAAATGGAAACGATAAATTATAAAAGGAGAAGCTTCTATCTCTCTCAGGATCAGGGACCCATTTGGCCCTGGACTTTGAGGTATCGAGAGGCTTTGAGCAGGCTCAGACTGGTGGTGAACTCTGCCCAGGGTAGCAGCAACATCAAGCCTCTGTTTGGTTTTGTCAGGAATGGCAGCAGAGACAACAGAAGCTCAGAGAGGGAAACAACCAGCATTTGAGGCCCTGGGGTAAGGAACCCTAGCCTGGAAAGACATTTTATCTGCATTCTAGCCCCAACCAAGAAGTAGGAAGCATGATTAAGATGTTGTCTTTGGACCAAGGGAAAACGTTTCTTTCCTGAAGCTGAAGTGGGACAACAGTGGACATCAATGGGGAGAACTGAGCTCATGATAGCAGAACTTTTCTGAAGGTTAAAGCAGGAAGTTAAGAAGCCCAGGGATGGCCCTGGATAGTATTTCTAAGTGGTTAGAGCATTTGCCTGTACACCAAATGTCTGGGGTTCAATTCCCAGTCACAGGTACGTACCTGGGTTGCAGGTTCTATCCCCGATCCCCGCCCACATTGATGTTTCTATGTCTTTCTCTTCCTCCTCCCCTCCCTCTCTTCCTTCTAATCTATCTAAAGTCAATGGAAAAAATATCCTTGATTGAGGATTAAGTGTGTGTGTGGGGGGGGGAGGAGAAGGCCAGAGGGGGATGCATGGGTGCTCTCTTTTAGAGCTTTATCTATAAAATAGCACAAGTAAAGTTTCAGATATAGTTGAGAGCCCTTTGAGAGTGGCTCCAGCAAGGAGGCTGGTAGGAGAGAATGCTGTCCTAATTTTGGTATAACCTGGAAGGATGGATACTTTCCATTATAGTCATAGACTGAGAAGCTGGAAATAGATGTGTTACAGAAATAGCTTTTAAAGGGTGAAGTAAACACTGTGTCTGTGGATTGATAGTAAGTTTACTGATAGAAGCTGAAACACGTCCTGACCTTTAGAGACCGATACTGGAGAAACCAGACTTCCCTTCTACAAAACTCCCTTGGTACTTCTGCTGGGATTAGAATACAGGATTAGTGGGTATGAAAACATTTATGGATTTCTGGTTTTGTTGAGGTCCTGCAATTCATTTTCCTTGAACTGAAGACAAGAATAATTCTTGGAACTTTCACAAGGTCGATGTGATGCCCTGATTCCTATTCTGGTTTAATGAAACGGAATCTCATTAAGGGCCAAAGCAACTTTCATTAGTCATATGAGCCTTGCACGTTTACCAAGAACTTGCCCTCCACTCCGACAAAAAGGAAGGGCTGTGTGTGCCAGCTGAAACGACATCATCTGACTAGCTCTAATATGAGGTGGAGGCTGGGCTAAGTTTATGCAAGCAGTGCACGCAAGCATCATCTAAAAATATCGCTGTGAGTTATTAACTTGGATAAGATACATTTCTCAAGATTTTAAAAAATATCAAGAGTAGCTTAATATATTAAGAGGTGTTCTTTTTTTAACAGCTCAAGAAGATAAATTTCTGAGAGGCTATTGACTCTCATACAAATTTCTTCTGTTCTTAGAATATGTTCATCAAACTTTAGGGGTCTAATTAGCTTAGTAAATCAAGATGATAACCTGGGAGAGACTGGGACTTAAGGTTTTAAGTAAATTCTTCTATGAATCAAATCCTCCTGAATATGGTTGAAGACTAAAGTGTCAGGCTCTCTCCTGGTTGCTACCACCCTTTATGTATGACTGGGTTCAAACATTCCACTCCAGGGACATTTTATTTCTCCACAGACATAATCATTACTCCCTTCTCAGGAATTTGGGAGCCTGCCTCAAGGAGAAGTCTTTTTCCACATGAGGAAGGAGATTCCACACCATCTGTTCTCCCTAATCTGTTCCTATGCTATCTGACCAAAGAGTGCATCTGAGGAGCCCCAACTGCCATACCTCTCTGTCCTCTTTTGACCTTTCGACTTAAACTTGAAGCAATCTCCAACAGCATGTGACTCAGGCAGCATAATGTCAGGGATCAGGGCTGAACTATTCTAGCACAGTGGATTAGCAGCCAAGGAGCGGTTCCTCTGACTCGGACTACCCAGGATTCTCTGAGGATTTATTCTCTGGCAGCCATGCCACTCAGGCTGTAATAGCTATGTAATTCTCAGGGGTAATTCTGAATTAGAACATGGCAAAATCCATGATGGATGAGCTCATTTTCTGGGTGCAGTATTTGGGCACATTACCTCAACTAGATGGTCTTCAATGAAACCTCCAAGAAAGAGTAGGGGTTTTTGTTTGTAATTCCTTCCAACTTAACTCTGTTATGGTTGTCATTCCATTGCATACCACGACCAGCAGCGCTTGATCAAGCATAGGGTTACAGGGATGGTAAACTGGTTGCTACATCATGAGGTCAGACAGTGTAATGTTACCTTTAATGAGCACTACAGAATGGGTGTGGGGTGTATATCATCCAGTGCCCCCACTGTATCTTTGAGATCAATATCACAAAAGGAAATGTCTATGGGGACATTCAGAAAACTGAACATAGGCATGGATTTTTTAAAAAGATAAGTCTATTTCTACAACAGGCAAATTAGATTAGTCTTCTTCCAATTTATCAACAACAGAGTAACATTTTTAGGCAAATAACTTCCTATGTAATAATTCACTGATAATTAAATTGTTACAATTAGTCAAACATTAATTAACCAATTAACTTGCATAAAATTAGTCAAAGTGTGCATCCTTATGCTGACAGAAAGAAAGAGAACAAACCTGACTTCTGGCAACCTTACACTGTTTTTCAGGTTTTTCTCAGAATAAACGTCATCAGAATTGGCTTCTTCCTTTAACAATTCTCTTAATTGGGTTGCAGCTAATTATAGTAGCAACATGGCCAAAGGGCAATAATTCTGCACTGATTGAAGCATCTCAAAGAAACCACTGCAAAAACATACCTGGAGTTTGGGGATGATTTGAGATTTCTTCCCCTGGTACTTCATGGAGACCGTGCTTACTTTCGTTGTTCAGGGTGTATTTTGGTTCTGTCTGTCCAGGAGCAGAGGTAAGTCAGCTATGTGCCCTTTGATTTTCCAGAATTCCTCTCAGAGATTTAGAGGGCTGTGCTCCTCCTGCTAAGACAAATTCATTTCATTAATGCTATGGTTTTCCCTTTCAGAAGTAAATGTAGGAAAACAGTTGGAACGTTCCTCAAAAGGTTAAACATAGAATTATTGTATGACCCAGTGGTTTCACCCCTAGGTATAAAAACAAAGGAATTGCAAAGAGGTACTCAAATACGTGTACATAAATGTCCATAGCAGCAGTATTCACAATAGCCAAAAGGTGAAAACAACTCATCGATGAATGAATGGATAAATTGTGGTATCAACATATAATGGAACATTATCCTATATAATAAAAGGCTAATATGTAAATCAACTAAATGGAGGAAGGACTGGTCACTATGACGCGCACTGACCACCAGGGGAAAGATGCTCAATGTAGGAGCTGCCCCCTGGTGGTCAGTGTGCCAGAAACTGGGCTCACGACTGGCAAGCGCAGCGGTGGTGATGGGAGCCTCTCCCACCTCTGCGGCAGCACTAAGGATGTCCGACTGTGAGAGGGTACAGGCTGGGCTGAGGGATACCCCTCCCCCTCGAGTGCATGAATTTCGTGCACTGGGCCTCTAGTTCAATCATAAAAAAGGAATGTAATGCTGATACATGGTACAAAGTGGGTGAACCTTGAACATGTGTTAAGTGAAAGAAGCCAGATAGGTCACATATTGTATGAGTCCATTTGTACGAAATATCCAGAACAGACAAACTCATAGAGACAGAGAGCAGACTGATGGTTGCCAGAACCTGGAGGTAGTTAGGTATAGGATGTCTTTATGGGGCAAGAAAAATATTTTGGAACATAGTATGAATGGTGGTTGAACAATGTTGTGAATGTATGAAATGTTACTGAATTGTTTATTTTAAAATGGCTACGTTTTATGTCATGTGAATTTCACCTTAATAAAAATAATCTAAAAATAAATACAAAACAGCAATTTATTCAATTCTCGGCATGAAGCATTCTGCAGCAACTCAAATATCCTTCCGTCCTAAGTAACAAGATTATAAGCCATCGGTAGAGAAACAACTGTTTGTACCAGTTCCTGACAATGAGAAGCTACTTCAGCCACATGTAACATGCCAGATTCATCAAGAGAAGCCTGATAGTTCACCAAGGAGAGAAATGATACTTGGCCCTCTTATTTGCTGGCAGCTGTTTCAAACAGATGAGCCATTCATCTCTCTGGCAGCTGTAGAGCTTGAGATTAAATTTTTTCATGCTTTAAAAAATGTATTTCCAATAGAAAATTGATATACTGGTTCTTATGAAAAGAAATCTTGCAATTGGTGATCTGCAAATGAAAAAAATGACCTACTTCTGCTCATACATTCCATTGCATTTAAATGATTAGTGCAAAGATAAAGTCAAGAATTCTCTACTTCTCAGGGTCAGGGGGTGTCAGAATTGCCATTCACCATAAAATCAAAGGGGGAACAACAATAATTAGGATTAGGGGGGCCAGTGAAAGGAAGAAAGGCAACGGTACAGGGATATAGTGTTCAAAGCATGTCACATGATGTAGTGATCATCTGACCCCCCTTTCCAGAAGAAAAAGGAAGCAAACTTAAATGCACAGAGGAGCTTTTATGCAGCATTAATATTTTCTTGCTGCAAGAATTAAAAGAGGCTGAAGGAAGACACTAAACGGGGCTACAAATTTCTTCAGGAGGTATTTACACTCTAGGAAGCTGATAGCTGTGAAGAGCTGTGAAGTGACCATTCACTTCTCTGATGCTGGGATAGCTGCAACAGATCAGATCAAGATCTTTTTTTCTTTTCTTTAGAGAAGTTAACTATGTGACTGGTATCTTTAAAAGACCTCTCTACCTGAATCTAGCATAATTCCCTCATGAATACTTATTTTGGTTCTAATCTTTGGGGATAAGACACAAAGTCATTATTTATAAAATAATCTTTCACAGTTGAAGCTGACTACAAATAGCTCATCCCTACCCCAGATAAGTTTCCCATTCTATGGGTAAAAGAATTTTAGTTCTTAAATTGATCATTTTGTGGTATTCTCATCACTATTTTAAAACTTTTACTAGTATTATCCTCTGAAATAATCTATATGTTTGGGCAACCTAACTTGAGAAAAGAAGCATAAAAGCTATCTGAATAAATTTGCAAAAAATAACAAAATCTATTTGTTCGCATACTTGGTTCTAAGGACAGTTGCTATTGTTCTATGAGCCTCGTTTGGAAGAGGCTGGGATGGGGATGAGGGGAAGCCTGGGAGCAAGGAGGAGAAATGCTATGGATGTGCTGCCCCATGAGTACTTTATTAGGAAATAAAAACTAGTCCTGGAGCCAAGCATTGACCCTCCAGCCAAGAATTCCTCAAATTAGATATTATGAACTTAAATGGCCATGTCTTACTCTTTTTCTACTTTCATATTTTACAAGGCCAAAGGCAAAGAAACAACAAATGGTTTACTTATACACAGCCAACCAGCAGTAAAACTGAAGTTAGAATTTAGAAGTACTTCAATACCAATCTAGTGCTCAGTCTACTGAACTAGGTAGAATGCCCATAATTGGAAGCCCAGTTAATATAATACATTGTAATGATATTCGCATTAGCACTCTGCAAAAAGTATCTTGTTATCTCATTCTAGTATAAGAATCTCAGGCCAAAGGCTAGATTTGCTTCCATACCTTTCAGTTTCAAGAAGAATTACAGTGCATCACACTTTGGAGCTAATAAAATTCTTAGCTAAGATCTGAGTCATATGGAAAAACAAATGAGCTGGAAAACAGGGAATAAACTATGATGAAATTTATTTTCAAAGGGAAAATTATAATCGCTTCATTATGAAGGGAGGATAAAAGGGGGCATCATCACCAAGAGAGCAAAAGATAAACAAGAAAAATGGAATGTGAAATTTGGACAAGAAAGAAACAAGATGGGTCTATCTCAAACTATGTTTGAAATCTATTTTTTTTTCTAGGGTAAGTCCCAAGCAGTCAGCAGCAGTCCTTTTGAGTGAAAAGAACTCCAGGGTAAAAGGGATCCATGGAATAGTAAGGCTCTGGCAAACACTGCTTTCCGTGACCACGGGGGAGTATAGCTCTATATTAATAAATGGGGTTATAAATCTTTATGAGCACAACTCTAGGGAGGCAGTGGTTTCTAGCTTCACCCAGGATATTTGGAGAACTCTTGGAAGGTCACTGGGTTATGCCCTTATAAAACAAGGACTTGGCCAACTGAAACACTATGGGTATGATGTACTGCTTATAAGAATGGCCAATGTGGTAGCAAGCCATGCTGAGCATAGCAGGTGGCATCATGGACAGGCTTCAACATCAGTAGAAGTCATTCATGCAAGAGGCAATACTAAGAGTTACTCTAGGAGTTAAGACAAGGTGAGCACCAAAAGGAGGAACCAGATCATGGAGTCAAGAGCAGAGCTCAAGTCCAGTGGCAACATTTGATTGGGAACTGAAGCAGATATCTTAGACAAGAGCAAAGAATGTGATATTGGGGAAGAGGGGAGAATTAAAAAACAATTACCTAATATTTTGATTTTGGCTTCTTTCTTTCTTTCTTTCTTTTGCCTACCCAATTGTTGTGGGTTGAATGATAGCCCTCTAAAAGATGTTCATGTAGCAACTCTTGGGACTGTGAATGTGCCCTTATTTGGAAAAGGGTCTCTGCAGATGTAATTAAGTTTAGGATATTAAGATACAGTCATCCTGCATTAGCTGGGTGGGCCCTAAGTCCAATGACAAGTATCCTTATAAGAGATAGCAGAAAATAAAACACAGTTGAAGAGGAGGAGAAGGCCATGTGAAGACAGAGGCAAAGACTGGAGTTATGCTGCCACAAGTCAAGTAAAATATGGAGCAACCAGAAGCTGGAAAAGGCAAGGAGAATTCTCCTCGAGAGCCTTGGAGGGAGCACAGTCCTTCATGTCAGATTTCTGGCCTCCAGAACTGTGAGAGAATAAAGTTCTATTGTTTTAAGCCACCAAGTTTGTGGCCATTTGTTATAGCCGCCCTAAGAATGAATACACCAATTATACTGTGATTCTTATGAAAGGGTACCCTGAAAAACACAATGACTTCTATCACCACCATCTATCTCTTCAGTCTTCCCAGCCAAACATACACACACTGCAAAAGCCCCAAACAAGGGCCCCTAAGGTGGAAGACCGGTGTGTCAGAGCAGAAATATGCCTGTGCTCAATCTATCCTTTAGATCTATATCCCTCCTTCACTCCTAACTGCTGGGGGTTTTTGTTACCGTATTTGCCGGCGTATAAGACGACTGGGCGTATAAGACGACCCCCTAACATTTCCACTCAAAATACAGAGTTTGTTATATACTCGCCGTATAAGACTACCCCCTCTTCCACACACCTTCCACACACCAAATAAAAGGTAAAACAATATCAGATTTGATTTTAACATTTTAATTTATATTCAAATGCTTATGACATGCAGGAAAACTGTCACAAGGCTGTATGTAATCAAACATATACATAAAACAGTGCAAGTTTATTACCGGTAAACATACCGGTAATTCACTAAAGAAAACACACTCTATAGACTGGTACCGTAGATGCTTCTCAGGAACACAGGCAAGCAGCCCACAACCTAGAGGGACTGTCAATGATAGAAGAAAGAT